AAACGCGGGGGCGTGGGCGCGGCCCCCTGCCCCGCGCGTGGTGGCGGAGGCAGCCCGAAGCGCCCGGGCCGCGCTGCTCCTCGGGCAGGTCGCCGCTTTTGGCAGTTTTGCTTTGGGCGCAGAATTGGCCCCCTCCCCTCGGAAGCCCGGAGTCCTGGAACGCGGCAGCTATTAGGGCAAGCTCCTGTTTTACTGCCTGCGGGCCAGGAGCCGTCCGGCCTCAGGGGCCTGCACGGGCAGAGCTCGCCGTAAGGCACACGCGCAGGCGTCACCTCCCCGTCTCCCGAGCCAGGGAAGTAGCTTGCTTTGCTTTTGGAGATGGGAGGATGGAGAAACGAGAGCAACACCATGTTCGCAGGGCTCCAGATCAGCAAAAGAATGCAGGAAAAGACACTTGGGAACTTAAGTTTCCTCTCCCCCCCACCCCCAGAGCAAACTCTTAACATAAAGCCCCAGTTAAAGCTTATCCGCGGTCAGTTCAGGTGCCAAAGGCTCCTCGGTTTTACCAAGCGCAGTCCCACCAAGGCAGGAGTCTGCCCACAGAAAACGGTCCCAGAACTTACTCGCCAGCCTCTGCGCTGCAAGGAGAGGCGTGGCGGGGATCTGCCAGGAGACGAAGCCCGCGCCGCGCCCCCTCCGCGGGTACAACCTCGCCTGCAGACAGGTTCGGCCAGAGGCGCTTTATTGATTCTAGGAAAGCGCTGTGTGGTGGAGGGTGCCGGCCGTCTCAAGGCTCCCCCAGGTTACCAAAATTCCTGCGTTAGCCCACGCGCTAAAGCTGTTTTACACCTCTATGCAAAAACCTGTGGCTAGAGAGGTCGCTTGCCCTCAGAACAAGGGTAAGGGGTAACAAACGGTAAAAATTGTCCATCGGCGGAAGGGATCCTTCCTCAGTGAGTCACGACTGCCAGCTCCCGGAGGTAGGACTGGGTGAGGCTGCGGAGCTCCTCCAAGGCATAGTCCTCCGGCATCGGCAGCCGCCCGACGTGGGGAGCCAGCAGGCGAAGCGGGACGCGCTGCACGTCGGGCGTGGAGTCGGCGACGGGCTCCAGGGCGTGCTGCAGGCTGAGGACCGCCCGCAGCAGGTTAGCGATGCGCTTGGCCATGTCTGGAAAGAGCAGAAGAGGAGCAGTTGTGCACGCTCCGCACCACGCTCCGGAGCGGGAGCTGGCACCCCAGCGCTCAGCAGCTCGCCCTGCGAGGGGTGAACCTGAACAGCGATCCGACAGGAAATTTTGGCATTTTGGGTTGGTGGCACCATGCCCTAGCGTGACCTGGCCTTCTCTCAGCTCCAGCAGTGAGCTTCCTCTCACCAGACAGACTTCCTCCATGAGTTTAATAAAAAAAAAAAAAAAAAAAAATCGGCCTTATTCCTTAGAGCAGACTGTTTTCTGCCAGTATGCTCACGCTTGATTTGGCACTGTCATACGGAGAAGACACTTTAGGGCTTATCAGGAGACAGCTTAAGAGACCAGGCACCAGCTGCCACATCAACCAGGTGACAAAAACTGCCTGAAACAGCCACCAACAGCTGCAGGAATGGTAACGCCCGGAGCAACAGACGGCTCCCCTCGCCCACCCCAGCCTTCCTTCTCAGCACACACCCAGGGACAGACGGACAGACACACCGGCAGCCCGGGTGACAGCCGGGCAGGGCTAGGTTGTAAAACTGGCTTTTCCCAGTGGGCTGCCAGACACCGACGTCCCCGTACCTGACTGAGCCAGGCGGTCCTTCGCGTTGCGGCACTGGATCTGCTCTATCCTGTTGCACAGCGACGTCACTTTGGTATGTAACCGCTCCAGCTCGTAGGTGGAACAATCCAGCTGAAAGCAAACGAGAGTCGGCTCCGAGTCACCCAAAGCCTTCCAGCAGAATCGCTCGCCGGCCGCCCGAGTTGGCTCTAAGCCAAATCCACCCAGCAGAAGACAATCTACACTACGACCTGTTTGAAGTTAACGCCTGAAGTGGGGGAAAGGGGAAGCCTGGAACTGAATTAGAGGGGACCGACACACAGACTCCCCGCTACCTGCTAGTTCCGCTCCTTCTCCTTCACTCACCTCACCTGTCACGCCACACAACGCATGTTTGCGGGCAGAGCCCACATCTTATTTTGACATGATCACCACATCTCTCTACCGTTTCAGAGACGCACCACATTCTGTTCGCTAGCGTCTGCTAAAGGGAAACACCAGCACTGAAGAGCGAGGAACAGGTTATCCTAGAAGTGAGACTCTGTACGAGCTTCCCAACGGCAGGAAAAAAACCGCACAACCGTGTTAGTTTGTTACCTGTTGAATCCTATCAAGCATCTCAATCACACGGATGTAATCTAGGTAGACCAGCCCCGCCATCTCCCAGTCCTGGATGAGCGCACTGCGCTCTGGAGGGGCGAGATCTTCCAGGAATCCTTTTAGGTACTTGTAGTTTTCATTAATAATAGCATCTAAAGAGAACAAGCACGTTAGTAACGGAGCAAAGGGGTTTCTTACAACTCAGGAGCATTGGATGTTGAAGAGAAAAAGCAGCTACTGGACTGTACTCTCAGGCAGTTCTGTAATTCCTTGACGCTGTCAGCCGCAGCCAGAAACGCTTCCTTGATGGGTGACCTACAAAAGGCAAGTCTAAGGCCATCCCATTTCCAAGAGCAGGGACACCCCTAGGATCGGGGCTCCGGGAACGCTACCGCTGCCCTTCTTCCCTGAGGCACCTCCGGCACAGGAAGGTGGACGTGCGGAAGGTTAAGCACCGTCCTTCTCGCGTGTTTGCAGTGAATCATCATCGCGCCGGGCATCAAACGAGAGCTGTTTTGAAACAGCCAGCCACTCTCTACTAACCCTGTTGCTAGAGACACAGCCCGACCCCTTCGTATTACTGAACACCCCATGACTTTTGTTCCTACTAGATTCGTGTGTGCTGTTCAAAAGACAGAATGAAAAAAAAATTAGGAGAGCAGACTCACCTGAGGCTAAGTGCCTGACAACCAGCCTGTGACACTGGTTCCAGTGCCCAGCCTTGAACAAGAAGAGGGCTTCTTTATGCTTGTCGCCCTCCGTCCTTGCTCGAACCGCCTTTGCTTCATGAATCCACTCTGGGGGGACGCAGAGCCTCTGCGTCAGAAAATTCTCCTTGGCCCAAGACTCTGGCGTCTCGGAGAGAACGCAATGCCGATTTAAGAGTTCACGCACTGCCTTCTCCCGTGTGCTGGGGAAGAGAGGACAAGGCGTTATTCCAACAAGCAATCCTTCGTATCGCTCCATCAGCAGACACGCTTCAATACGAGTGGCCGCGGACTGAACGAGGCAGCAGTGAACTGCATTATACTTACTGGCGACGGCAGAGGCACAGGCGTAACACGGCAAACGCCAGCCTCGCCGGGCCTCCACCGTATTAAGAAAAGCTCTAGTATCAGCTGAACTCCTTCAGTACAGGTTAGTCACTAACAAAGAAGTCATTGCTAGTGTTTTGCTTAAAAAACTTTAAGTATGATCCAGGCCCCTGAAAGTAATACACGGGCTCTATTTGAAGTTATCGGTTGGAAAAAAAATTCTATTATTAAAGGTAGCTGTAAACACGAACAGCAAGAGACACCTTTCCACAAGAGACGCATTATCTACAAGTTTAAGGCAATTTTTTGTGAAGCATGGATTTCACCACAAAAGCAAAACATGCATGCTGGCGATTCCCAAGCCCTCCTTTCAAACACACTTGCTTCTGTTCAGCCCCGACAGGAACAGTTACAATATTTTGCATTACTGATGTTTTCAGGGGACATTCCTGAACATAGTAAGCTTGCTGAGCCAGAGACAAGATACACAGCGTCAGGATACCAAAACGACGACAAGATCTGCTTCTATAGCACCGTTGGGCAGTCACAGTCCTTATAACGCAATACTATTTAACATATAACAAGACATTTAACTAAGCAGAATTATTCATGCCACTCTGTAGTCAAAACTGTGCCAGGACAAGTGGCTGTGCAGTTCCAGTTTAACGGGAGAGAAGCCACGATAACTACGGTACACACAGCAGGTCTATAAGACAGAGGCCGCGTTATTTTCAAAGAAAAACAAAATTAAAACCACTCTTTTACTCACTGGGTATCAGGCTCATGCAGCAGTATGAAAACAGCCCATTCCCAAAGCCCTTCGCTCTCAAGCTGGGCAGCGTAGCTAGCATTCAGCACGCCTTGACTCTGCTTGAACAGATGGGTGTAATTCAGGGCTCTGAGCACTTCCCACAGGTGCCAGCTGAGACGATAGTCCAGGGGGTCAGATGTTACGCTCCTGGGGAAAAATAGTTGT